GTTTCTCCTATGTATATATCGTATGAGAGATTGCTGATTTTATGTCAAATTTTGTAGGGGGATTGCAATGACCATGAAGCGGATGCTGGAAACCTCATTTCCTGGGATTCATGTTGTCTTGGAAAATTATCCTCCACCGTTCCCCAAACGTGCACTCAGTAAAGCTGTACCCCTTCTTCAGTTTGGAGCGATGGCAACATTAATGGCTGGTGATCAGATCTTCCCTAGATTTGGAATGGTTCCGCCTCCTTGGTACTGCTCACTTCGTGCTAATAGATTTGGGACCATGGCATCAATCTGGCTGTTTGGCAATTTTGCCCATTCATTTCTACAGAGTTCTGGTGCCTTTGAAGTTTATTGCAACGGGCAACTGGTAGGTTCCTATGAATACCTAATTTTGCTGCAATATCATTCTGCAGCATTTTACTTTTATTTGCAACATTATATTTTCTCGGAATCATTTCTTGCCAACTGTTTGCACTTTGCTGGGCACTGAAGCTTCCTGAGTTATCTGCTTTACTTCAGTGAGCTATTCTTATTTCCTCTTGATAGAAGCTAGTAACGTTTTGGAACCTGAGGTAAACTAGTTTCTTTTCCTGGATCTCTGAACTGAAATGTGGAGGTTAGGTCATGTTTATGCATACAATGTCTTCATATGGTGGTACAATTATCAATTGTTGGTCGCAAAGCTTTGGAAAAAGAGCAAGTTATTCTAGAACAGATGAGAGGGCAGGGTTTGTTATGTTTGTTTGTATGGCATCTGTGCTTTTCTTTCTCTTGGTGGAGTCAAAGTACTAGTCTGTCCAAATTTTCCTATGTCATTACTGAAGTGTTTATTAGTTGTACTTATGTTGCATAGTACTGTAGCCATAGCCAAACAATGAGACTGAAAGTGATACTATAAATGCAGCAAACCAAGTAGGGAAATTGTTGAACCGATAATAGTAGACGCCTGTGCAGAGTAGGCCGTTCCAAAATGACAAGTGGTTGATGTTTGTAAAAATAGCCTGGGATCTTGGTCTTTCCGTTCATATAGAACTGCAAGCTTCAGGAAAGCTTATTTTTGTATATGTGCAGTCCATATGGACCATTCATGAAAATGCTAAATATGATGAGCAATCATAGTCTTTGAAGTGGAACTGTAGTCTTACTTTTTTCGCAGACAGTGTTTGAACCATTCCTGGATTCTCCTTTTCCGTAACTGAATTTCTTATGCAGCCGACCTGGATCTGTCTTACTTATGCAGCAATTTTCTCCACTTTTCAGGTTTTCTCCAAACTGTCTGAGCAGAGGTTTCCTAGTGAGCTTGAGCTACAGGAGCTCATTGGCAGCAGGATACTGGATTCTCAGATTGTGGAAAATCTGGAAAAAGATCTGGTCTTAGATTATGCTGATGCTGATGATGCCATGACAGACTAGCTTGCCTGTTTGTTACTAAATAGACAGAACTTGAGAGTTTCACAACTTAATTGTCAAACACACATTGTCTTATAATTTAAACTTTACTTTCCCCACTTATGTACATAGTTATACCATACCTATGTAATAACAAAGTTTTCTGTTGAAGTCGTGTGAACTCAGAACTATCACAGGTTGCAATAGCTCATTATTTGCTTAAAGAGGATACAGACTTGCACCATAGTACTTCCGATAGAAGACAAACACCTGGGGTTAGCACTCTCTACAGAAATGCTAGTGTGCTAGGTGCTAGCTCGGTTGAGATAATTAGGTTCCTGACAGCGTGCAAATCACATGTCATTTATTGAACGAAGACAAACTACAGCTGGAGTATCACATGAAGTCGGGAAATAAATCAATGTCTCTATACCTTCGTTGTCTCAGATTGATGGAGAATATGAATTACAGCAATTTTTTTCTCAAATCTTCAGGTGCATGTGCATAGGAAGATGGAGAGGAAGCAATTGCCCTTGGTTCTTACTCGTCTTGTCAGCCATCCTGGTTTCTTCCTCTTCTGCTTCCTCTTCCTCTTCTCCAACTCTTCTTTCTTCACCACCTTGTTGTCTTCATTGTTGATCATCACAGTGATCAATTGCTCAACGTTGCAGGTGCACAAGGCGAATTGGCAGACATGTTCGATGCAATGCAGTGTGGACTCTTTGAAGTTGCGATGTGTATATATAGAGCAAGTTCGGATGGCTGGTCAAGGGGTCTCTCCGACTCTCCGTACGTACGGTATGGTACAAAAGTTACAGTTAAGAAACGCGTGAGATTACAGTATATTCGTCAAACAATACAAGTTTTACGCCGTACGAGTTCGACCCCGGAACGTGCTGTTTGTACACACGTTTTTGTTGGTCTCCACCTGTGTGGTGCTGGTAAATTTCTTATGTGTACTGTGTATATTCTATAAGTGCAAGTGAGAACACTCAAACAATGGCAGCCTCTTGTTGCTTGGTGCATTGGCCAATACTGATTCGATATGCAACAACCCCATACATCCTGAAAATGAGGTAATTTTAGGTTTGTTCTAGTCAAACTATCCTAAATTTGGCTCAATTTATAGAACAAAGTATTAATTAGACTAAATTGCACCCACCATACAACAACTTGTATGGTTGTGCCATTTTTGTCCAACAAGTTGCAAAACATGTAAATGGATGCACGGACTTGTTGAATGTGCACGTCTACGGTCACATGTACGCCACAATGAAGGACCGAGCGGGCGATCAGAGAGGGGTGAATGGAAGTCGAATCAAAATTTTCCCAATAGAAGCCGTCCTGTGTCCCAGGTTTGAGACATAACCACCCACGGTCGGTCCTCCGCCCCTCGGTCCCTCGATCCAAGCCTCCACACCCGTTCTTCACCGCTCACAGTTCATCAACATAAACTCGCACACCTTCACCATTGCCATCGATCTTAGTGCTCCACACCCGCACACCATAAGACAAGAGACATGTTGCACAACACCAACTCACGCAATGGTTAGTCTTCACACTAAACCAAAAGCTTGATCATCTCCTAACAATCACTCATCATTCAATGCACACATGGGAACATCTCCACCATGTGTTCGAACACACAACCTATTTTGCCACCGCGGCATTTCAAGCTTGACATTTTAGCTTGCCCATCCTTTAGGTTCCCAACCTTTAAAGCCCCTTTGAACCAAAGGATTTACAAAACATAGGAATAGGAAAAAATATGGGAATGAAATGTCCTACCACTTCAAATCCTACAGTGTTTTATTTGTCTTTAGAAGCAATGTAGAAAAAAGCACAGGAAACAAAACAGTGAGTTTGGAGCTCATGTTTAGTTTCCTCCAAAATTCCATCGCAATGATTCAATCCATAGGATTTTTTAAAAAAAATGTTAGGAAACATTCCTCTGTTCCAAAGGATCTTATAGGAATTTTTACTATAAGATTTAGATTCCTTCAAAATTTCTATACTTTTACTCCATTCCAAGGTTTCTTCTCTCCTCGGGAAGGATGTAAAATTACGTTGCGTATAAATATAAATCCAACCCGTTTCCTATATCTAATGTGTTTGGTTGGGAGGACGATGTGGGACGGGATGGGATGGACCCGAGATCAGCGATGTTTGGTTGGGAGGCGGAGTGGAGCGAGGACGTCCCCGACGAATATTCGCGTGAGATCTTGGGCGACCCGTCCCCAAAAAATATCCTGAGACAGGGGTCCGTCCCAGGTGGGATGAGCGGCTCGTGGAGGTCTTTGAATGCGGACGGGTCGCGGAGAGGGAGTCTTGGCCGGACGCGACGCAGAGGAGAAGAGGAGAGAGGAGCCATGCCGGATGCGGAGGAGAAGAGAAGTGTGTGTGTGGGGGGGGGGCTTCGACCGGCGAGCGCGCGGGGGAGATCCAGCCGGCCGCCGTCCTTGCAAGCAATGCAGCCGAGATCCGGCCCAGCTGCCGCCTTGTGGTGACCTTGGCTGTTGGTGTCTTGGTGTGAGGGCTGAGCGGCAGCAGTGCCCCGCCGCCGCCCCGTCTTGGTGTGAGGCCAGCTCCGCCCTGCCGACACTTGGCATGAGCCTGGGACTCCGAGGAAGACGATGCGTGCGTGTGTAGGAAAAAGGAAGGGAAAGGAGGAAGGAAAAAATAAATAAGACGTTGACGGATGGGTCCCACATGTTGTGTGTACGAAGAAGAAAGGATAAGGAAGAAGAAAAAAGAAAAAAAAGAAAAGGGAAAAGAAAAAAAATCTGATGGATGTGGGCCCTATGTGTCAATGGCTCATCCCACTTTTGAAGTCCCCGAACCAAACAGAAAACGGGTTGTTCCCGTCCTTTCTCAACAAAACAGAAAATGAACTCGTCCCGTCCCACAAACCAGAGACAGGACCATCCCACCCCACCTTATCTCCCAACTAAACGCTACCTAAATCTAAAAGTATATGTTGGAGTTGGAGTGGGAGTTGAGTACTGTGCATATCAGAGCAACTCCAGTGGAGTCCCTAAACAGACCCCTATTCTATTTTTAGGAGCTCAAGCAAAAAAAAACTACTCCAATGGGCCTCCTATTTGGACTCCCATTTTAGGAGACCTTCCAAAATTTAGTTGGAGGCCCCCAGGAACCAGGGGCTCCTATTCCCCACGCCCGACACCCCGACTGCCACCCCGCCGCCGCCACCCCGCCGCCGCCGTTCGTGGGATCAGGCGAGGTCCGGTCCGGCGAGCCGCCTGGACTCCATCGTGGCCGCGGAGCTCGCGGATCCGCCCTCCTTCACGTCCTCGCCTGCCTCCGCGTCGTCCCGCCGGTTCCCGCCGCCCCTCTTCTTCCTCCTCGTCCCGCCGGTTCCCGCCGATCCGGCGACCTCGCCTGCGTTCGCGTCTTCGTCCTTGTTCCTCCTCTCCATCCCCGCCTCTCCATCCTCGTCCTTGTTCCTCCTCTCCATCCCCGCTTGCGTTCCCGGCCTCCATCCCCGCGCCCGCCCCTCTTCTTCCTCCTCTCCACGCCCACCACGCCGACGACGCAGCGTTAGCGCAACCGGCAAAGAACGCCCACCACGCTGCGGTTCCTCTCCCATGGACGGCGACGCGTCCCGTGGCTTCTCCGGAGGCGGGCTGCCTCCCTGTCCGATGGTGGCTCCCACGCGACGTCGCCCATTCGTCGCGCCGCATCCCCGTCCGACGCCGTATTCGTCCCAAGAACGTCCTTCTCCCGGCGGTGGCGGCAAGAATGGCTTACCTCCTCGGCTCCCCAACGAACAACCTCGACTCGGTCCTCACGCGTTGACCTTCACGGAGCCTCACGCGCGCCACAGGACGCCGCCGGCACCACAACATCACCAAAGACACGTCTATGAGGTTGCCGGCGACTTCAGCCCCAACCATTGGATGCCTGATGACTACTCGGTGAGTTGTGCTAATGTTAAGAGCTCATTGGTAAACATTTTAGATAAGCTATGTGCATGTGCTATGGAAATCACAATCATATGTTCTCTGATCTTTTTTGTATGTGCTATTACTTTCTATAAGATTGTGTTACTAACTGTAACATTATACAAGTACAATACAAAAGAAATCTAGTATAGACATTGCAGAAGATACTTGGCCTTTCTTGCTGGTCACTCACCTATTTTTGCTTGTTCCACATTGAGCTCAGTCATGTGCCTGTTCAGATCAGGCAGCCATTATTTTGCTTTTGTTTTGGTTCTGAGCTGTGTTATACTTGAGCTACGAAGAAATTTGAGGCGTGCTCACTTGTCTGCAATTTGGGCCACGATGAGAACATATAGTACAATTGTAGCATGTTTGTTAACTGCCTGGTGTTTAGCTGTCTAGCCAGAATGCCATGTGACTGTTGTTATATCATCAAACATGGCAAGTGCAAATTGCAATGCAAACACAAGCCGGTCCGTATCATCAATTTTGTCAACTCTGGTAGAGTACCTTTTGGTTTTGGTTATATCATCAAATGAAATGAGCAAAAATTTAAGTCTAGGAAGCCTGCATCTGGTTTCAAACGCATATATGTATCGGATCAAAAAAGAGGGGCAAAATATCCTCAAGTTCTGAATATGACACAGCATGCCTCCAAAACTCAAGATTGCCGGCAGGTAGGCAGGCAGTCTATTCATAGGGAGGACACGCCACGGTTAGATTTGTTCTTCTTTTGGACAGATAGATGGGTATGGGCTGGACTGAATGAAGAGGCGTTGACTGTGACCCAAAGAAAATTAGCATTTGCATTAGTTGTGATAAACAACACCGAAGGTAGGCAGGAGCTGGTCAACCTATGGAGGTGTATCCATCCATCCAGCTGGTGCAAGTCTGAAACAGATAACAACAGAGAGAGAGAGTGGGAGACCATATGAAATATCCCTGCAGAAGAAACATTTTTTGTTGATTGAATCCAGCAATAGCCAGCTAAGAAGGATTTATGTTGAATGAATCCAGCAATAGCCAGCTTAGAAAGGTTTTTGTCGAATGAATCATCCATCATGCCAGCAATTTTGCTGCTAGTACACTTGCAATTTGAATACAAACTGAACTGACATGTTGCAATTTGCACTTGCATTACATTGCATGGGACTGAACTGACAATCTGGAGTTTATGTTTTTTGCAGGAACCAAGGGCTTCAAGTGCAGCAGGAAGAGGAAGAGGATATTTCACAACCATATTGACACAGGAAGCGGATGATGATTTGGAAGTGCTGAGGCAGCAGGATGCCACTCCAAGTACTGGCGGCAAAGGATCATCCAAGCGAGGCAGCAACTACACTAATCTTGAGGATATCCAACTTTGCAAATCTTGGATTCATATCAGCAATGACCCTATCATAGGGAATAACCAGCCAGGAAAAACTTATTGGGAGAGGATCAGAAATGATTTCCATAGCAATAGGGACTTTGAGTCCGATAGGACTCCCAATTCACTCGAGCATCGCTTTGGGATCATACTAAAGGAGTGCATGAAATTCCAAGGCTACTACGAGGAGGTCGAGCGTCGTCATCCAAGCGGCATTCCATACAAAGAGCATGTAATTGGTTCATCCCATACCTTGTCATTGCTATATATCTTGACATTGCTATATATCTAATCATGCACTTGATCTTTGATGCAGCTGCTTGAAGCCCAAGCAAGGTATGCCAGAAAAGCGAAGGGCAAAAATTGTTAATTCGAACATTGCTGGCTCACGTTGAGGCATACTCAGAAGTTTGAATCGACACTTGAAGGCAACAAGAGGCCAGCCAAGTCCGAGAGCTCAACCCCAAGAGGGAAGTGAACAAGACGATGAGTCAACCGCCCAAGGCCAAGAGAGCTCCTCGGTCCCTTACGCCAAGAAAGCCCGACCTCCGGGTAGAAAGCAATCCAAAGAGAAGCTGAAAAAGAATGAAGGAGATGACGAGTACAAGGATATGATGCAAAACTTGATGGTAATGAAGACCGAGGAACATAAGATGAAGAAAGAAAGGTGGGAGAAGGATATGATGCTTGAGCAACGCAGGATTGAGATGGAGGAGCAGCGGCTGTAGTGGGAGCAGGAACAGAAAATTATGTTTTGTGATGTGACCACCATGGACGATGATCAAAGGGCATATGTGTTGGCCAAGAGAGCGAAGATTACGAAGGCGATGAGTGCTAGTGTAGGCGAGACTGCTAGTGGTGAGAGTGGAGTGTAGGTTTGGTGAGAGTGGAGTGCCAGTGGTTATTTCTTAAGTTTATGTGAACTTATGTATGTATTATGTGAACTTATGTCTGTCTCTGTATCTGGATGCTAGCTGAATGTGAACAGCTATCTGGATGCTAGCTAAATGTGAACAGCTATCTGGACTGCATGTGACTGCTGTTTTATTTTAAGCCACATCTATTTCATATTTTTGTGCTATCTGTCTTCAGTTCTTGAATGTAGTCTAGAAAGAAGTAGCATCCTGAAAGGTGAAAACTGGAGTTTGGCATATCCTGAAATGTGAACAGCTATCTGACTGCTGTCTTCAGTTCTTGAAATTGTTTCTGGGGGTATGGGTGTGCAATTGTTTCTGATTTCTGGGGGTATGAGTGTGCAATTGTTTCTGATTTCTGAGGCACAAAATCAGTGTGGGAAATGAGTGTTTTTCTACTATGGATACCTGTAACACCCCGGTGTTATGCCTGCATTTAGGCATTGCTAATCATACATATCGTGCATCATCAAGCATCCTATTCATACATGCGTAATCTTGCATATAACAACTGAAACATTACTTCGAAACATACGAAACATGTTTGTGAAAAGTAAATGATGCATACATTTATTAGAATTGTTTTGCCCTGAAATTTTCTTGCTAGGTTAGTAAAACATGTTTGGCTGCTATTGTAAATCAGCTAGCAATAATTAGTTCAATTTTTGGAGCAATGTTTGTATTCAAAGTAATTCAAAATTTTGCTTTCAAAATAATTCTCCAAAATGAGGGTTTTGAATTAAAATTGACTTTGATTTTATAATTCAAAATCTAGATAGAATTGGACTTTGGTCATAAAAGCAAAGTTGTAGGGAATTAAATTCTAAGCAACTTTCATTTTTGGTACATTTTCAAAAGAGGTCATTTTCTTGCTCAAAATAATATTTGAAAACTGTTATTTGAAAATTTATTGAAAATGGAAATTGAAAAGAATGTTTACATTTTTTTTGGTCACGCCGCCTCCTTTCCCGCCCCAGCTTAAGCCCGGCCAATGAGCCCCAGCGCCGCGCCTCGCCTCGGCCAAGCCCAGCACTGCCGGCCGGCCTGCCTCCGGCAGCAGGCGCCTTCTTCTCTGCTGGCAGTGCCGTCGTCGCCGCGCCACGTCCTGACCGCGTCAGGCGACGCCCGCCGCGTGTCCGCCACGCGCCCGGCTAGCTCTGACCACGCAGCGCGCTGGCGGGCTTGAAGAGGAGCGCGCCCTGCTGCCAGTCGCACGCGCTCTGCCTTCACTCCTCCCGCACTGCCTTTCCTTCCGCCAGAGCCGCGAGCCCCGAGCTCCGCCCTCGCCGCGCTCGAGCTCCGCCGGCGTCAAACTCCCGCACCACCGCGCCATTCTCAATTAAATCACGCCCGCAGCTCCGCCTCGCCTTCCTTGAGGTCGCGCGCTCGAGCTTACTCCGCCTTAGAAGCATGGTCGGGCCTCCCGCGTCTCGCATGACGGCCATATGGCGCCATTGTGCTTTCGGCCGCCATGGAACCCGTCTTCCTTCTCCCCTCCGACCTCGCCTAGCTACCCCTACTGAGCTTGCCTTCTCCTCGCGACGTCTCCTGGCTGCCTTTCGCTGCTGGTCGGAGCTGCCGTAAGTGTGGAGGAGGCAATGGCCATTCATTGGCGAAACCCAGCCGTCGTCGCCTGTAGAAGGCGCTCCCGGCAAGCTTCTGCCTCTTGGCTGTGCCAAAGCCGAGCCAAAGTTAAGGGGGTTGACGCAGCGTGTGGGCCGTCTTCCTTCCCTCGCGCTTGGGGCCAGCAGGAGCGTGTGGCGTGTGTGGCCGTGGGCCCAAAGTAGCATTTAAATGATTTGTTTTCAATTTATTCATTATTATTTGAAAGCGAAATGGTTTGCAAAATATTTGGATACTCAAAGTTGCTCCAAATTTGTTGAAACAAATTTTTCTAGGTTCCTTATCACCAGATCTACTTGGGAAAAATAGTGCATGTCATTTTTGATATACTTTTCTGTAGGATTTTATTTAATCATAAATATTCTTTGATAACTTGAAAATGTGTAGAAAAATCTATAGTCTTCAGAAAAATATGATTGCAAGGTTGTTAATCTTACTATGTAATGTACTTCCTAGGAAAAATATATTTCATGCATGTACTGTGGAAAAATTTTGAGGTGTAGTTCAAGTACCTTAAATGGCTGATTTTTGTTATTTTTTTTGCTAGAGAGCAAAATTTGTACAAAACATGCATGTGAAAATTTTTGGACAGTCATTATATACCATGAAGAACCTAGGAAAAATATTAATTCTGTTGTTTGACACTTTTCATAGTACAAAGTAATTTCATGCTCATTTTTAGGCTATAGCTTGTCATTTTTGTGTAGGATAGTTTACTTATCCAAATGCCATGAAATTTTTATGGTAGTCTGTTTAGGGTAGTATTATGCTACTGTAATTTTCTCAGATTTTTAGGAGCATCAGAAATATATGTTGCTATTCAAACCTATTATTAATTAGGGTTTAAGCAAGTGTTGCCTTAAGTGTGATTAAGAAATTAGTAAAGCTTTGGTGTATCTTTGAAGCATTTAATAAAATATGTTGACTTAACATATTAGTAGTGGAAGAGAATGCAGTAGATGACATGTGCTTGTAGTATATTTTCTTGGATGATGTGACTACCTTGCTTTTCAACATATCCATTGCATTCATCTCATTCGATGCACCGATTGCATAGGCACTTACACGCATTGCATCATACAGGATCATAAACCGAGAACCCGATCGTCATTCCCGAGGAGCCCAGGAGCGATTCGAGAGGTGCGCCGCGAGAAGTGCCGAAGCAAGAGAGGAGGACGTTGAAGAACTTAGGAGTGCCCCGATCACCGTCCGAGCTCCTTCGAGAGAGGCAAGCCGAACATTTTTCTCCGGTTTGCAATGATTTAATTAAATGCTTTACTTTAATTGATGCATTACGTTCAGGAGTTGTTTGCAACCGTTCTTTGCATTATACCTTGTTTACCTTTGTTATACTATATCCTTGTTACCCCGATATCCGCATGATCGAGTCCATGCTTAGGCTGGCTTAGGCCGGTAGAAGTCGGTGATTTCTGTCACCTGCGAGCTATAGGTGGTTACACGGATCTGTTTGGATGGCTATGAAGTCATGGTATAACTAAGTGTTAAATGAAGTTGAGGCCAAGGCGGAGACTTGCGGGGTTTTGACTGTAGTGTTTCCGTGCGTGTCGATTAAGGACCGACCGTTGTTGGGCCTCGAGTCATGTTGAACATGCCTTACATTTATTTGGCGGATAAAGTACCTTCCGACCACTTGAAAGCCGGGAGAGATTTTCGGCCGAGTAGATTGCCCCAGCACAAGACCTTGTTGTGCAAGCGTGTGTGGTAGGACACGGGCGGGATGATAAGACCAAAGTGCGATCGGTCGCCCCCGGGTACATGTGGTTCTGGCAAACTCGAGATACCGGAAAGTTGACTCGGTGATCAATATCTCACTTTAGCGGGTGAGTGAGATTTGTGTAAGGAATAAATCACCCGGTGGTTAGGAATCGATTCGAATCGCCATCGCTCTGGATAGTGAGCACTTGACTTGAGTTACTTCATCGTAGTAAATGTTTATGGAACACTTGGGCGAGTTATAGTGAATATGACAGTATGGAAGTTGTTTAATGATCGGTGGTTATCATTAATTGCTTAATCACATGTTTACTCTAGTATAGGTGCAAATCTAGTTGATGAGTTAATAATAATTAACTTGGCAATAATGCTTTAGAAAGGTTCTTGAAATGCTAAAAATGCTTCTTTTTGCAAATGAGTCACTACCCTACTATAAAGCCCTTCATAATCCTTGGTGTCATTTATTTTCGGTTATGTCGGGTAAGTCCAATTTGAGTACATTCTCGTACTCGGGTTTTATTCCCACTTGTTGCGAGATGGGCGGATGTACTATGGCTCTTTGTATCAAGCGCCTTTATCCTGCGATGGGTGATGCTTAGGACCATGGGCATGGTCATTCCTTACGTCTCGTCTAATGCTTTTGTTGGAGATGATCATCGGTGGCACTATATTTGAACTACGTGTGAGTGTGTGTGGTTTTAAACAAATGACTTCCGCTACTTTTATTGAACTTGTTTTGTAATAACTATGTTTAAACTCGATGTATACATTATGGAAACTTTTATGTAATATGTGATTGGTGACCGCTAAACTTATTACGATCATGGCTGGGACACGAGTTGGTTTGAAATCCTTCGTGATTTCACGGACTACCGGGTTATACGGGCTTAAGTTTGCTCAATCGTCTGCTCTGGTGGATGATTTTCTTACTTAATTTCGTATAATTGGTCGGTTCTGTTACAATACCCTTCTGGTACAGAGCATGGAATAGAGGCTAGCCTATTCTTTCTGCAGAAAGATGGCAATGCACCAGAGAATAATTTTTAACATTACAAGACAGGGACAAGCTTGAAATCTATCACTAGCTTGAACTATGAATTGCCCACAAGTGCTCTACAAGATCATCACGAAGTCGCTCATGTGAAGACCTATCCTCAATCTCGTTGTGTATCTTCAGGAAGTCCTCTAGCACAAGCGGATTACGACGTTGGTAGTCCATAGGTTGCAACACAGGGACACCCTCCTGATGGTAGTTAAAATCATCTTCCTCATCTCGCTCACCCTCAATGATCATGTTGTGCAAGACTACACAAGCTTGCATTATGTACCATAGATCTTCCTTATGCCACATTCTTGCAGGACCCCGCACAATTGCAAAGCGAGCTTGGAGCACCCCAAACGCTCTTTCCACATCTTTCCTCGCTGCTTCTTGTGCCATTGTGAAGTGGATCTTCTTGTTGCCCTGTGGATGTTGAAAAGCTTTGACAAACGTTGCCTAGGCTGGGTATATCCCATCAGCAAGATAGTACCCCATTGTGTACTTGTTTCCATTGACCATGTATTCCACTTGTGGCGCCGTCCCAGAGGTTAGACTTTGGAAGAGTGGAGAGCGACGCAAAACGTTGATATCATTTAGAGAACCTGGAAGGCCGAAGAATGCATGCCAGATCCATAGATCTTGTGATGCAACGGCCTCAAGGATCATGGTCGGCCCATCTTCTTTCCCTTCGTATGCTCCTTTCCAACCTACTGGGCACTTGTCCCATTTCCAATGCATGCAATCAACGGAACCAAGCATTCCTGGGAACCCTCTTGCACTATTAATTGCCAACAGCCTGGCTGTGTCCTGGGCATTGGGGGCCCTCAAGTATTCTTCACCAAAGACCTCGACGACAGCCTTCACAAAATGTTTCAGACACTCAATGATTGTGCTCTCTCCCATCCTCACATACTCATCCAAAAAGTCGGCCAAAATTCCGTAGGCAAGCATCCAAATGGCGGCAACAACCTTCTGTATGGGAGAGGCGCCAAGAGTTCCGATGGCATCGGGCTTCTGACGGAAATAGTCATCATGAGACTCCACTGCATCCACTTTCCGCAGAAAGAGCGACCTGGACATCCGAAACCTCATTCTGAAATGTTTCTCACTGTATACACACTGGTCCACGAAGTAGTCTAGGTAGATGCGATTGTGACCTTCAGAAATGTTCCGTGGCACTTTGCGGCTATCCGGTAAGGATCCACGAAACTTTTTCTTGCGCTTGTTTCTCCTCGAGCCCTCAAGAAGACCAGCAATGATGAAGAGGTCGTCATCATCAGATTCATCCGCTTCATCCCACCCTCGACGAGCTCTAGTTCCAAACCTTGACATCTGCCATAGCAACAAAAAAGGGAAAAAGTTAACAGAAAAGTTTGTATTGCTATTGCTTTCTTCTACCTATAAAAAGTGTAATCTTTTGATTTCGACATCTCATCTTCCACCTTAGTGCAACAAGAACAAATTCAAGAGACGGAACAAAACTGTCTCTTTTGTACTCATTAGCTTAAAGTCCTGTACTTGCCGCAACCCAATCCTGTAACAGGATTTTTTTTTAGAAAAAGTGTTTAATGGTTCGACAAGCTAAGGTTCAGGTTGTACTTTCACCTTGCCTTTTCATGACTACTACACAATAGGAAGTCTGGAACTGGTCTAATTGGTTATAGATATGGAGTTTCTGAACCTTTCTCCTCCATGTTTCTACTACTTTCTGATCGCCATTTGTGGGATGGGTGCTAGTCTATTAGATAAGTCAGTAGTATCATTTGTACCATAACTTATCCACAAGTTGTTAGGTCATCTCGCTTAATTACCAACAAATCAATCACTTAATGGTCCTAAATTTTTTATCAAATAAAAAAACAAGAACAAATGGAGTTGGGCAGGGGCGCGAAGGCCGGGACAGGGGCATCGATGCGCGAAGGCCGGGACAGGCATGAGAGGTCCAACACAGAGGAAAGGAAGGGCCTTGGGCTGGGGGTTGCTCACTAGGGCTCGTGAAGATGTCGTCCGGGTCGTGGTTCACGGCCGGCCGGGGGCCTTGGCCGGACGACAACCACATGTGAGGCGTCGTGTGGGCGAGGTGGTTCCGGCGGTCGACGTCGAGGCGGCTTTGTGAGGTCCAGGGGCTTCGGCTAGCCGTCGGTGGCGTGGATCAGGCGGGGCGCCGGAGCTGGCGGCGCGCGGGCGGGGCGCGTGTGCGGGGCGTTCTTGGGCTGGAATAGGGTGTTGGGCTGGAGTTGGAAGCAAATTTGGGTCCCTATTTTTTGCAGGCCAGCATGCAAATGAAAAAAATAGAGACCAATTTGCATGCTGGGCTGGAGTTGCTCTCAGGCCTTCTCTCCATTTTTTCCATCAAAGACAAGATTCGGAGATCGCCCATCTTTTGGTTCTCTGGAGTTGAGCGCCGTCCGCATCTGCAAGACTGCAACTCCACGGACCAGGGTCGTCGCCATCGCCACTCGTCAGAACGAGACCACGAGCACGAGGGCGGGATGCTCAGTCTCGGGCCTCTCGGCGCCCACACCTCGCCGCTGTCCTGCTCCACATACCACGGTCCCCTACTCCAATCCAGACGCCTCTCTCCCTCACCCACTGCCCCCGCCAGCGCCGCGGCCGCGTCCTGCGCGCCTCGCTCGCTCTGCTTCCTCCGCCGCAGGAGCAGCCGTTTCGCAGCGGAGCGGGCCCGGAGGCCTACCATGGCCGCTGCAATCTCGCTGGAGGCCGGCGGGGGCCTGGCCCACGACCTAGGGTCCGCAGCCGTCACAGCTAGTGTCGCCCTCGCGCTCCTCAAATTCTTCGAGGAGCTCGCGAAGCGCGGCGTCTTCGAGCAGGTTAGCGGCTACGCCCTTCGTGTATTGTGTGACGTGTCGCCTTCCTTTTGCGCTTATCTTCGCCGATTTAGCGCGACTACGAGACTACTAGTAGTAGCGTCAGAATTTCCTAGTGTATTAGCACTAAGGAAGCCACTGCTGCATTACACTGATAAACGAATTGTAACAGAAACGAGTTGGGAATAGCTTCTATCATGTGAAGTATGCTCGTCTGTAGTACAATTTGCATGTTCAAACTACGCAATGATGTGGTCGCTCGTTGTTGTTGAACCCACTTGCGGTAGCTGAGAGTATCACATCATCACTACTCACTAGCAGTCCAACGAAGTGCTATCGGTTTTAGCGTCAGAATCTTCTAACTAATTCTAGGAGTAAGGAAGCCACTGTTGCATTGGTTGATGTATGAATTGTGGCAGAATGAGTTGAGAGTCGGTACTATCCTGTGAACTGTGCTTGTCAAAAGTGTTTCGATGACTTTGGATGAAGTGAGTCAAAAGTGATCCTTGCTCCTTCCGAAATTTAGCGATCACTGCAATGGGGTATTATCGCAGATTTGCATTATACTCCTGTGTTTCGATGGCTTTGGATGAAGTGAGTACTAGTGATGAAGTGACACAGGAGAGGAGCTACACGGTGCCAAATGCTAAGTATTAGCTGTGCCTTTCAGAAGTGTTGTTTGCATTATTACTGTGAGATAGGATATTTTAGGTGGAATTGGTGATGATTGATGAACTAGTAGCCAAATCCCACATAAATATCTTAGATTGCTTAGTGCCAAATGATGAGTTTAGGTCTATGTGTTTTCAGTTTGAACAATACTGAGAAATGAATTCTAAATGTGTGAGAGTTCAGCATCTGTTATTCAATACATGTAGAAAAAGTAAAAAGTGCATTCTAGCAAAAAAATTGTGAACAATACATTTGTCGGAGTAACTCAATTTATGAGCAATTCCAGGCTGAAGTCAAAGGGGTGCCTGTATTTTAAAATGCACTTTATTTTTTGTGCAGAAACTCAGCAGGAAACTTGTTCATATAAGCGTTGGGCTGGTGTTCTTGCTTTTTTGGCCTCTTTTTAGGTAATAAGATTCTGAAACGCCCCAGTCATTGTATATCATCATTTTGGTGTCAGATATTGACATTTATTGCAGCTCTGGATGGTATGCTCCTTTCCTTGCTGCGCTAGCACCAGGGGTTAACATTATAAGGATGCTTCTACTGGGGCTGGGACTTATGAAAAATGAGGCTATGGTTAAATCAATGAGCCGCTCTGGAGATTACAGGTTCACTTGCATATACCAATATTTGATCATTTGATACTGCTTATGCTCATATTTCCTGTTCTTACTTTGATGCTTCAGGTCATGGCACTCTGGTAACTGAATTTTCTTTTGAACACAAGGAACTTCTCAAGGGCCCACTGTATTATGCTACTACTGTAACTTTTGCCACGTGGGAGAACCTCACCTGTTGCTATAGCACTTATATGCAACTTATGTGTTGGGGATGGTATGTTCATTTATCTGCATTTCACTTTTTGATCCTAGAATAAACCCAGCATAATGTTTTAGTTCCTTGACATAGTTACTGGAAACTGTATGTGATGTGGAATTTTAGAGGCCCAACTTTTCGGTGAGATGAGATGCCTTCCAATTGTGAGGGTGACTCACACGTTCCAGGCTACTGACCAAGAGGTTCCATTAGCCTAGCAACCACTGAACCAACCCTTGAGATGTTATCAGCCTAGCCAAAACCAAGCTGACCTAACCACTAGGGTCTGTTCCTGCAAGAAATGGAAGAAAACCAGCAAGAACAAGGTGCAAGCAATCTGAAATTGCAAGTATGTAGTGAAATATTAAGATGGAGCTTTGAATAGAGGTTGGTCTGTTGGTCTAACCGACACAAGAGACAACACAAGCAGTAGTTTCCAAAGGAACTGAACTAAAACAAAACCCAATTCTTACGTATGGAGGTACCCCTCCTTTTATAGCCAAAATGACTGCTGCTACAACGCATGCTACTACAATGTACTGGCAACAGCTAACTCTATTACTACTGTTAATATGGAGGTTGTTCCATGAATATGGACAGCTAACAAGTAACAAACAAATAGTTTAGCCTACTATACTCTAGCTGGCTGCAAGTGATGACTGCCTGTGGACAACCACAAATACAGCACAAAATATCAACTCAAATATCTTTATCTTTAACACCAAGGTTCCTTACTAGGAGCACATTTCGATCTCTTGTGTAAAATTTGTGAATTGCTGGCCTAGCTTCAGGTGGTGGAATGGATGGTACTATAGCTGTAGGAATGGATGGTACTATAGCTTCAGGTGGTTGTATCTGTAGAAGTGATGTCCTCATCATTCTCCCCTTCTTAGAATGGAGTCGTCCTCGACTCAAGTTCATCTTCATTTCCCATGCCTGGCTTTAAATCTGAAACATTAAAGGTGGGACTAGCTCCAAAATCTGTAGGCAGATCTAGTTTATAAGCATTATCATTTATCCTCTCTAGTATACGAAAAGGACTATCAGTTCTAGGCATTAACTTTGTTTTTCTTAAGTTTGGGAACCTATCCTTTCGCAAATGTAGCCAAACTAGATCTTCAGGTTCAAATGTGATTTCCTTTCTACCTTGACTACCTGTAATTTTATACTTTTCATTCATGTTTTCTATGTTTGCTTTAGTAATTTCATGCATTTTCAAGATCAAATCAGCACGTTCTTTAGCATCAAAGTTTACCTTCTCTGAAGATGGTAGAGGCAATAAATCAATTGGTGCACGAGGCATAAAACCATAAACAACTTGAAAAGGACACATCTTGGTTGTAGAATGTACTGAACGATTATAAGCAAATTCTACGTGAGGCAAACATTGCTCCCATATTTTCAAATTCTTCTTTAGAATAGCTCTAAGCATGCTTGATAGAGTACGATTGACAACTTTAGTTTGACCATCTGTTTAGGGATGATATGTAGTAGAAAATAGTAACTTTATCCCCAATTTAGCCCAAAGTGTCCTCTAGAAATGACTCAAATTTTGTATCACGATCAGAGACTATTGTATCAGGGACTCCATGTAAGCTAATTATTTTCCTAAAGAATAAATCAGCAATATGTGTAGCATCATCACTTTTATGACAAGGTATAAAGTGTGCCATTTTAGAGAACCTATCCACGACAACAAAAATGTTATCCCTCCCTTCTTTGTCCTAGGCAGTCCTAGAATAAAATCCATCGAGATATCCTCCCAAGGAGCACTAGGAATAGGTAGAGGCATGTATAAACCATGTGGGTTAAGATGTGACTTAACTTTTTGACAAGTGGTGCAGCGTGCCACGTAGCGCTCGACATCACGTCTCATCTTTGGCCAATAGAAATGGCCGCTTAGCACATCTTCTGTCTTATTCACACCAAAATGTCCCATTAGTCTACCTCCTTGGGCCTCCTGTAATAGCAAAAGACAGAGAGAGCTAGCTGGAATGCATAGCTTGTTCGCACAAAATAAAAGTCCATCACTCACAATGTACTTATTCTAGCCCTTTCCTTCCTTGCAATGCAACATTATTTCTTTAAAATCAGCATCATGCTCATATAGCTCTTTGATAGTTTCCAAACCAAATATTTTAGGACTAAGTCCACTTTTGGCCCCTCAACTATTGTGGTTGTCTAATTTTAACCATCAACTACAAAACCGTCTAGTACCGGTACCCTAACTGTCAAAACCGTTCACTTTTATCATCTGGGCGGGGGCAATGTTGTTTTGACCGACGTTGAGCGGTTTTGACCACGTCTCCCTCTCCACGCTGCACAGCCTGACAAACCGATATTGGGGCCTATGTTCTTCCCTGCCAGTTGCTCGAAACTAAGAAGTGCCTGACTAAATGTTGTAGTTCTAAGTGCAAGCTTGGGGCTAATAACTTGAACGGGCAGAGTGCCACGGTGAAATATAAGAAACACGCACGCCAAAAATTGTGCATCACTTTGTTTCGGCCGGTGTCCGTGGTCACCACGTCCGGTCGTCGAGGGCCGAGCGCCTGCTCGCCCTGCACCGTGCTGCCTCGCCGCGCTATCATAGCAGTTCGCCTGGTCGACCCGCTATCGCTTCCATGTCGTGGCTGAGCCGCTCTAGCCTCGCCCTACCGTCGCCGCTTCTCCGGTCGCTGCCCTGGCTGGTCCTGCTGACCTGCTGCGCTCGCGCTTCCCCTACCGGTCACGAGGGGGGATAGGATAGGACATGGGAGTAGTCAGAGGTAGCATTACCCCGGAAAGCGACTGTTATGTGGCTGCTCGGATTGAGAGGGAGAGAGCTGAGGGAGAGGCGGAGGCCAGAGCTACAGTACCCGCGAGGGTACTGTTCACGCGAGGAAGAGAGGGCAGGGACGGTTGGCTCCCAGGGGAAGCCAGCAACTTAATTGTTGCTTCTTGCTTGACTATAACTGATACATGGTTCTCTCTTTTATAGAGATGACTGACTTGACCTCTAAGGAAATATCTAACCAAATCAATCTAATTTATCTCTAACAAACCAAATATCTCTTTCCTAACAAACCAAACAATATAATCTAATCTGTTCACGCGCTACAGTACCACGTCGCTACAGTATCGTGTCGCTACAGTAGCGCGTGGGCCCCTAGGCCAGCTCCACTTGCCATAACACTACTCCACCCCTCGAAGACAGCTCATCCTCGAGCTGTGGCGATTGCCGGAGCGAAAGACCTTGCGGTCCAGAGAAGATCGCCATGGCAGACCTGCTTCCTCCTCGAGGTGCCAAACTTGGCTGCTCCATCTGATCTGCGTGGAATCGAATCCGCCCGGATCGAATCCATGGAGCGCGTGCACGCGGAGTCGATGGCGCCCTCCACGAGCAGCCACCCCCGCTATGGGTGCGGCAGAGCGGGGTTGTGCTGGAGGCGTACTCCAAGCGACCGATGGAGCTTTGAAGGCCTGTTGCTGAGCCGACGGAGAATAAGTGCATGCAAACTGCAAACAGCCATGGCCCTGCTCGAGGGACCGATGCTACGGCTCGTAGAGGCAGCGACACAGGCACCATGTTCGCCAATGTCGGTGCATGGATGATCGCCTGCATTGGTGACACTAGTGCTGGCGGGGTTGTTGGCGAAGCTGGTGATGAGACTGCCGGAGTTATGGCAGCCGGGGCCTTCATTGGTGATGTGGCGAACTCCAACAGGGCCTGTGCGGTGGCCGAGGGCGCCGCGCCCGTGCTGTCCAGCGAGGGCGACGCAGTGGAGAGCGTCGGCATCAGGCTGCCGCCGTGGAACAGGGGCATCGGAGGACTGTCGCTGTAGTCAGGAAGACCGACGAGGTCTGTGCTTGGCAAAGCGCCGGTGGTGGCGTCCGGTTCTCCACCTGGCCGAGCCGAGTAGCCAGATCGGCCAGCTGGCGCTGGAGGTCGTAGGCAGCGATCATGAGATTGTGGATCGCAGCCACCGGGATTGTCGTGGCGGGGAACATGTCCGGCGTAGATCGCGCAGGTGCTCCAGGCGGCATGGAGATGGGCACGGCGACGATGGTGGTTAACGCGGCGGCGGAAATGGAAGTAGGCTCGAGTCCTGGCATCTCTGATACCAGATGTTATGTGGCTGCTCGGATTGAGAGGGAGAGAGCTGAGGGAGAGGCGGAGGCCGGAGCTACAGTACCCGTGGGGGTACTGTTCACGCGAGGAAGAGAGGGCAGGGACGGCTGGCTCCCAGGGGAAGCCAGCAACTTAATTGTTGCTTCTTGCTTGACTATAACTGATACATGGTTCTCTCTTTTATAGAGATGACTGACTTGACCTCTAAGGAAATATCCTAACCAAATCAATCTAATTTACCTCTAACAAACCAAATATCTCTTTCCGAACAAACCAAACAATCTAATCTAATCGGTTCACGCGCTATAGTACCACATCGCTACAGTACCGTGTCGCTACAGTAGCGCGTGGGCCCTTGGGCCGGCTCCACTTGCCATAACAGCGATGCTGGCCATGGTGACTCCACCATGCACGTGGCTCGTCGACCGTCGCCTCCGCCTCGCTCGCCCACCGACAACAGCCAGCCCTATGCTGAATCAATGAAGATCGTCGTGGATCGATAGGTTCGCCTGTTCGATTGGAATTGTCGAGCTAGATCGAAATTTTGCAAGCAGTTCATTGATTGCTAGCTATTGTCTCTCTTCTGCTATTTTCATTCAAAGCTTATTCGCAGCAGCAGCCTAAGCATTGCACAAAACCACGGTGGGTTGCGGCCTAGGATGTAGTCCGCCTGTGAGTGCGCCAGCGCCAGCAGGTCGGACGGCGCGGCGTGGGCTCCCGCGGGGAAGCGGAGGAGGCCCTGGCCGCGGCCATCGGCGGAGGAGGTGTCGGCGTCGGAGAGGTA